GTGTAGGGATGGAAATCTCTAAGCTAAATCACGTAAAGATTAGTCGGAATTATTGACACATGATAATCTGGCGGTGAAATAAATTTTCATACTTAGCTGGTGGTTAATTAGGCAATCAAAAGTAAAACTTTCCTTAAGACATGTAGTATTCATAATAATAAACTAACTAATCATAGATAAAATAGAGCTCAGCTAAGGGTCTTTTTGTGTGTTTACAGATGTGGTCAGAGATTCTTGAAAGAGCAAAGCGTGGAGGTATAAACGTGGTCCAAACTTACGTGTTTTGGAACGTTCATGAGCCTGTGAAGGGCAAGGTAATTAAATTAATGATCTGGAACCAGAACTACTACTACATGTAAACGTTGATTATTATTCATGGTGGCCTTGCCATGCATCCACGGTTAATGAATGTCCCAACTTGACTATAGTTCTTTTCATCTGCAGTTCGTAATGGAACCGGAGTATGATTACGTAAAGTTCATAAAGCTCATTCATGAGAAAGACATGTATGTAACCCTCAGGGTTGGCCCTTTCATCCAAGCTGAATGGAATCACGGGTATGCCCTTTCATTAATTTTTAAAGAAACAACAAAATACCGTATATTGTTCATGAATGGTTACAATACAATTTTTAACAAATGCAGTAAAATTTATTTAATTTACAAGATCATGTACGAGACTCTAATCTCTGATATGATAATCTGTTTCCTTCAATGTTAATACATCAGTGGACTTCCATATTGGCTAAGAGAGATCCCAGAAATCATATTCCGCTCTAACAATGAACCCTTTAAGGTAACCAATCAATCATATAAAACTCGCCAGCTTCTTGTTTCTGGAAATTAAGACCAACTTAAGATTACTAAAATCATTTCTAATTTGCAGCTGCACATGAAAGATTACGTATCAAATGTTACAAACACGTTGAAAAAGGAGAATCTCTTTGCTCCCCAAGGAGGTCCCATCATCTTGGCGCAGGTGCTGATTTTCCACATGATCCTTCTTCTCCCACGTCTATTTATTTAATTTCTGCATGGTGCTAAATAGAATAAGCAAAGTGCTCACACATGTTGCTTACGTACTACAGATTGAGAATGAGTACAACCATATCCAACGTGCTTTTAGAGAGGAAGGAAGCAATTATGTCCAATGGGCTGCAAAAATGGCAGTGTCACTGGATGTTGGAGTTCCATGGATCATGTGCAAGCAAACAGATGCTCCTGATCCAGTGGTAAGTTTATGAAACTGTTTAGACATGATTTTCCTTCCAGTGAGATTAAAAATGCGTGTTATCTCTGACCTGACAATGCATGCTTCACTTGGCAGATTAATGCATGCAATGGAAGGCACTGTGGTGATACCTTCGCAGGCCCCAACAAAGCTTACAAGCCTGCCCTATGGACTGAAAACTGGACTGCTCAGTAAGTATATATATTCGTTAGTGATCAATTTTTTAGTCTTAAGTCAAATAAATGTATGTATTCATATTCTATCTTAGTAGATTGGTCTTGAAACATCCATTTGGTATTTGAGACATCTGATCTTCAAGTAATATTTCTGATGGACTAATAATTGAATGAATATTTGACAAAATTGGCTGCATGAGTTCCTACTTTGAAAAAAAAATAAAATAATGGTCACTTATATTTGTGAATTTCAGTTGTTATTTTCGGGAAAATAATTGTTGATAATTTGCAAGTACAGGTATAGAGTGTTTGGAGATCCACCATCCCAAAGATCAGCAGAAGACATTGCCTTCTCAGTTGCCCGGTTCTTCTCTAAGAATGGGTCTTTGGTGAACTACTATATGGTAATTAATGACCTTATCATGCATCCAAATCAAAAACTTTTATATGAGACTTGTGGACATTGTGTTTCTCACTCAACTCGATCTGAAACTCTTGTAGTACCACGGTGGAACAAATTTTGGTAGAACAAGCTCTGCCTTCACCACAACCCGGTATTATGATGAAGCCCCTCTCGATGAGTACGGTCTGCAGAGAGAACCAAAATGGAGTCACCTGAGGGATGTGCACAAGGCATTGAACCTATGCAAGAAACCCCTCTTCAATGGTGCGTATTCTGTCACAAAACTGAACCAACATCATGAGGTAAGCATCTGACACAACCTTCTCAAAATTCACATTCTCTTAATAGGGGTTTTATTAGAGAGAAATATGTGTCAAAGACAATTTAAGCCATGCTGGAAGTTTGAATTGCGCAGATTATAGTTTATGAGAAGGCAGACAGTCATTTATGTGCTGCTTTCATCACTAACAACCACACCAAAACACCAACAACCATAAACTTCAGAGGTACGGATTATTACCTGCCACCACGTTCCATCAGCATCCTCCCTGACTGCAAGACTGTGGTCTTCAACACTCAAAATGTAACATTTTTTAACCCTTGCTTTTTACAAGTAGAGAATTCACATGCTTGGCTTTGAAGTTTTTACTCCTTAGTCCTTGTAGCTGACCATTTTGTATTGCATCCTCAATCAGATTGCTTCACAACATAATTCAAGGAACTTCAAGACGCCAAAGGAATCAAATAATTTTAAGTGGGAGGTGTTTTCTGAGTCCATTCCAACCACCAAGAATATTCCAGTCAACGAAAAGATTCCTGCAGAGCTTTATAACTTGCTTAAAGACGCCAGCGACTATGCATGGTATACCACCAGGTGAGTTCATGTTCCTGTGATTGTGAACAACTGAGGATATGGTTATCTTATTCCATGCATTTCACCATTGATATTTCATTCTCTTTATTCCATGCAACGGTATTTTATGCAACTGCTGTCTGAGACTTGTATATTTAATGCAGCGTTGAATTGGGTCCAGAAGACTTGCCAAAGAAGACTGATCTATCCCCCGTTCTTCGTATTCTGAGTCTTGGCCATTCATTACTTGCCTATGTAAATGGAGAATTCGTTGGTAAGCACACAGAAATTTGGCCTTCTAAAAGGAAGTGGATCAAGTCCAATGTACTTGGACTGATTCATGCATGGCAAAATGTTATATTATTCCATTCTCTATGAGAGGTTGGGTGTTAATATTTGGCTAATTTTCTTGATGATTTTAAGGATCTAATCATGGTAGCCACGAAGAAAAATCTTTTGAATTCCAGAAACCTGTAAAATTCAAGGTTGGAGTTAACGACATAGCTATCTTGGCTTGCACTGTGGGACTCCCCGTAAGAGGCTCAATTTTTTTCCTTCTCTAATATTTGCAGCACTTGTTTTTTACAAGGAGGATGATAACATTCTTGTATCCCCTTTAATCTACAGGACAGTGGAGCATACATGGAGCACAGGTTCGCCGGACCCAAGTCTATAACCATCCTTGGTCTGAATTCTGGAAAAATTGATCTGACTAATAATGGTTGGGGTCATAAGGTATTAATTAGCATACTTTTGAGAAAATACCTGAAAAAGGAACATAAATCATGGAATGAAAATAGAATAACCATAGTGATCCCTATGATAGGAGATCCACCAATCACATTAGACTGATTAACAACCAACCTACTTTCAATAACATGTAATTGTTCTTTTCGTAACTAGCCTTAATTTCCCAACAAATTGCCTGTTACAACTTACAACCCTTTAATAACATGGTAGTGACTCATCAATCTACAATGAGCATTACATGGCCGGGTGTCGAATCAGGTACTAGACTATTAAACAGAATTAAGGGACACAATGGAAAGCTCATCCACAAACATTAGTCTAGCAAAAACAATAGTAAAGTTACTGTTGAACTTTTCAGGTTGGTATCCAAGGTGAGGAGCTTGCCGTTTTCAGTGAAAAGGGATCAAAGAAGGTAGAGTGGAAAGAGGCCAAGGGACCTGGAAAGACTGTCTCCTGGTACAAGGTAATGGCTACTGCCTTCACTGGATTATAATAACATTGCAAGTTGTTTTCATTTTCAAGGGGATTCAATCAAACAAACATGTTTGACTTGTTTTATGATTCTGTATTCATTTCACAGACAAATTTTGCAACCCCAGAGGGAACTGATCCTGTTGCCATCGAGATGAGCGGCATGGGGAAGGGAATGATTTGGGTGAATGGTAAAAGCATTGGTCGTCACTGGATGAGCTACCTCTCTCCTCTTGGAAAGCCTACTCAGTCAGAGTAAGTAGAACAAAATGTTTGGCCTTGAAATCCAAAGGAAAACTAACTCATTCTTAATTTGTAACTTGAGTCAGGTATCACATTCCAAGAACTTACCTCAATCCAAAAGACAACTTGCTTGTTATATTTGAGGAAGAGGTGGCAGATCCAGGAAAGATTACCATCCAAACTGTTGACAGAAATACAGTATGCAGTATCATCACAGAGAATCACCCCGCCAATGTCAAGTCATGGGCAACTAAGAAAGGGAAATTCCAACCTGTTTCGGATAATTTGATGCCAACAGCTGAACTCAGATGTCCACACTTAAGAACCATTAAGACTGTGGAGTTTATAAGCTTTGGTGATCCTGCGGGTTTCTGTGGAGCCTTTGAAATGGGAAAATGTGACGCACCTGGTGCCAGGCAAATCGTCGAAAAGGTAGAGCTCATATTTCTTTGCAAAATAAAAGACTAACTTTTTTCTATGACAAATATGAAGAAGCTGAACCTTTTTTCACTGTGCAGACTTGCCTAGGACAACCATCATGCACAGTTCCATTGGACAAGGCAGCCTTCATTCAGGGCAAAGATCCTTGCTCCAATATCATGAAGACACTTGCAATCCAAGTGAAGTGTGAGTGAGTGAGTGAGTGAGCGAGTGAGTGACTCCTACATTATGTAAAACATGATACCTGAAATTGGTGTCTTTACGTAACAAACATCATATTGTTTGTTAGAATATTACAAGAGTTCAATGTTGTTTCTAGAAATTTGTCATCCTTCCTGGTTGATTTCAATAAAGAACTTCAGGCTTGTCAACATAAGAGAGTTCATTGTTTCGTTTATTACCAAAACATAAAAGTTCCAAACTCTTCAAAACTAACAGATCTTTTCAAAGAAAAATACTAATTAACAATTCACCTTAAAGCTCAAGAGTTCATTGTTGCGGTAACATTTTTGCCCAATATTCTTACATTTTCATTTTCATCAAATAGAAATATTTTATCATATAAGATGTCCAAAATCCACAACCCCAAATAATTATTTTTATTTTTTTTATACAATGCAATAATAAGGTTTAGACTTATCAATTATGAATCATCACTTTAGGCTAAGTACTCAAGTCTATAGCTAACTACTAACCACATCTAATGTTTATGTTGATTGTTGTTCTAACTATGTCTATGAACTATGATGAACTTACATCTCGACTATAATTATTTTATTTTATTTTATTTTGTAGTTGTATATTTATCATCTTGGACGAACTTGTTTGTATTAGATATTGAGAGGTGTAACTCAATGGATGAGGAAACATCAAATTAATGTAAAAAAGAAATAATAATATTAAATAATAGACAAAATAAGCAGGAAATTTATTTATTTTTGATTCATCTATCTCATTATATATGTGACTATTATGCTTTGTTGCATGGAAGAATTGGACATAAAATTTGGACATGAATAATACGGCCAATATTCTTCGTTTTCAAGTGGACGAAACTCATGCTCACAAATTTTGTAAATGTTTTCCAATTTGTATACAAGGTCAATGAAAATCATAGTTATAAGTTAAAAGAAAATAATAAAAGCTGAATTTATAAATTAAATAAAAATGAAAAATTAAATTTATAAATAAAATAAATAATAAAATCTAAATTCAAAAATTAATAAAAATAAATAAAAACTAAATTTATAAATTACAGAAAATATTAGGGATGGCAAAACGGGCCAGCCCGGCCCGTTTTGGCCTGGCCCGCCATTGGCCCGCC